CAAAACTTCTCCCTGAGCTCTCGTCTCAATTCCCCTCTTTCCATTTCTCCCATTGCTCCTTGTCCTGTCCCTGCTGCAGCTTCCCTGGAGCCCCTTTCAGCTCCTGACAGGCTGCTCTGAGGTCTCCACAATCTTCTCTTCTCCAGGCATGGAGCTATAACCTCCCACATAGTAAAAGAGCACACCAAGTGCACTCACACTTAGCAGTGCCTGCAACAACACTACACTAGTTTTACATTTTGAACTTTAGATAAAGATGAACTTGTATGACAAAGACTGATAACTGTTCATGAAGAGGCCACAAAATACAGAGCGTCTCTGTAGTGAAAAATGAAGCAATTCCTGGCAATTTTAGGAAGAATCATAGAATCAAGTGGGTTGGAAAAGACCTCCAAGATCATCAAGTCCAACCCTACCGTGGTTACTAGACCATGGCACTAAGTGCCACATCCAGTCTCATCTCTCCATAAAAAATCTCTTCCTAATATCCAACCTAACCCTCCCCTGGCAGAGCTTGAGTCTGTGCCCTCTTGTCCTGCTGCTGGTTGCCTGGGAGAAGAGACCAACCCCCACCTGACTCCAACTTCCTGTCAGGGAGTTGCAGAGGGTGAGAAGGTCTCCCCTGAGTGGGAGGTGTCCCTGCCCATGGCAGGGGGTGGAACTAAATGGCCTCTAAGGTCCCTTACAACCCAAACTCTTTTGTGATTCTGTGTAGACATTCAAGCCAGAGCAGTTATTGCCCAGCCATACAATTCTCCACTAGGAACAGGATGTTTTGTTTTGCTATTTTGATCTTTTAAATTGAACAGGTACTTCAGAAAGTGTAGTTTTGAGAGACCAAACTCATCTAGAACCTGGTCCAATCTATATGTGACCACCCATTGCATATCTGGTTTTATCTCCCATTCTATCAAGTCACTCAGTCTTTGAACAGAGGCAAATCAAATTGTTTTGTAATCTTCAGCAAGTCAGTAAGAAATTTCTACTGACAATCTTTGCCTTTAGAAACACATAAATAGGCTGCAAAGAGGAAAGCTAAGGAAAACACGCTAATCTAATGCTACTTCATAAAGTTTCCCCACATTCCCTCTAAAACAGTTATCAGCCTTAGTGAGTTCTGCTCTTCAGACATACTGACTGGAGCTTAAGTATTTTATGTGTGACAGCCTGGATCTAGCAACAGCCAAACAATCCTGTACCTCCAGTTCCTTGGCATCAAAATACTGCAAATATTGTTGGGGCAGAATTTCATTGAAGCCTTCAAAGAAAGCTTGTGTCTGTTCCTCCACACCTCGTGACAGTCTCCACTCTGCTACCAGTCTGCAAAGAAGATACAGAGAGGTCATTTAATAGCCTGTGCTATCTCAGGTGCACATCTCTGTCAGCCTGTTCTGAGATCAACTGTAAGCTAAGTTAAAAAAGAAGTATAGAAAGTTCTAGGGACAGAGCACTGTATAATTTTATTAGCAATCTTTATTCCATAAGTGTCCAACCATTCTACTACAGAAGTGCTTCAGTCTCAGAGAAGAGGCAGCATCTCTTCACTGATGACATCAGTGAGAGCACAGCAGTCCTGAGGGATCTGAAAAAAGTTACAGAGCTGATTTTGCCCAATGTTCTGCCCAGAAATCTCACTCATTAGCCATGACAAGGTGACAGCTAAGCTGTACTGGTGCAGAGCAGCAGCACTGACAGTAGAGCAAGCACTGCCTATGTGCATTTGCAAAGTTCCGTATCTGTGTTCATCAGGAAACTTTGTGGCAGAAACTACACTGTGCATTAATTAAAGGGTGAAAAGCAGGCAGGAGACCCAAGAACCCGAACCCAGGGAGAAGCAGATATACTGATTTCAAGCCTATCCTGTCAGGAGCACTGGAGAATAAAGGAGAGGTGACTATTTCTTATCTCAGTCCTAGGAATTTGGGGGACTTGAAGCAGGACTTGGACTAAGACAACAGAAAATGAGTGAAGCTGGAATCTGGGCTCTCTATGGGTTCCCACAAACTGGAAGAGAAGGATTTCCTACAGATCCTCCCTCCTGCCAAATGCCAATGGGATTCCTCTGCAAACACCTTTCCTGTAAAGCACTGACATGTCTGCAAATTGCTCATGTGATGAAAACAGAACCCACTCCCTTCTCCCTCCCCCTGCCTGTGAGAACCTTCACAGAACACATCCTAACAGGGCGGGAAGTTGTCCGGTGACTCAGTTTGGTTTGTGCCGGCAATGTGTGATGGGTTTTTCTTGCAAGCACATCTCCAAGCCTGTATCCTGAAGTTCACACCCTGAACCAGAGCTTATGTACTGCTGCACACTGACTAGGGAGTGAGTATTCCAGGACAAAGCAGGTCACTGTTCATATGCACTCTTTAATTGCTTTTAGGCTCCTTCTCTCTTAATCTGTTTCTTTAAAACATTCCAGTGCTACAAACATGATAATTTATGAGAATACAGCTTATGACACCAAAAAATGCTCTTTAAAAACCCCAAATCAAGTATAAATGGCTGTGTAGAACATCAGTGGGCTCTGAACCACTGTAATTATAGCAATCAACATATGCAATGCCTTCCTGAAGTACTTGACGTTCAGATTTCTTGTCACGATGTTCTCCTAAACTTCAGTATCTCTAATAGAAAAGTAATCTTCTAACCACAATCTTCGGGAAAAGTGGATTTTAGAAGCTTACTTCTATCAATACTTTTTCAAATGTGAGATGCAAACAATTGCCACATCAGTGGTTACTCAGACAGTTTCAGCAGTGCTTCAGATGACACAGCCTTTTCTTGCTAGAACTAAGGAAAGAAAATGATGGAGATAAAGAGTATTTTAAAGCCTTCATTTATGCTCACCTGATGTAGTCTTCTTTGTTTTCTTCTGTGACCAGAATGTTGCTACCATTTGGCTTCAAATCATGGCTTTTGATCTCACCTAGAATCTCTTTATCAACAGAGAAAAACATTTCCAAGCCACATTCTTCAATGTCATTCTCTCTGGAAGGGAAAAAATAGCATTTTAAAGCACTGTATCCAGACCTTGCATGCAGTAGGGGAGAGATAAGTATGAAGAGCCTTGGAGCTAAGTAGTCAAGATAAGGAAATGTTCCTCACAGGACAATTATGGCTTTGCAGGCAGCACTGACTCGTTTCACCAATGTGCACACAGGAACTGTACTCCTGATGGGGAAAGTTTTGATCAGTTGAACCCTTAGACTTAGCAATCACAAGGCTGACAAAACACCTCCTGACTGTGATCTCTGGGATGTCTATGGACTACAGAAGCTTTTCAAGTAATGACATTAGAGGTCAGTGTGTTCCCCTCAGAGGTCTGAAGGCTTTTCTACAATCTTCATATCCTTAAGTGTTCTTTTCCAAGGGGCAAAGCCTTTCCTGGGCTACAGCCTGGAAGGTTTTTATCACTACAGAAATTGCTTTGAATTAAAACCAAGGCCCATTAGCAGCACTTAACATACTGCTCTGAAACCCAAACCAAACTCCTATCTCAATTCTTAACTCTCCCATAAAGCTGCTTTCCCCCTCCTTGTTGCTCCCAGGACTCACCACTATAGGAGAAGTCAATCCTGTCTTTTGTATTGAGTTTTGCATTTCAAAACCCAATCAATCCTCACACTTTTTATCAATAGCATGTCTAAAACTATTCTGGCTTTGTATGGTTCTTCAGTCAAAAGTTTTGTGTCTGTGGTCACAAAAAGGACTAATTTTTCTGCTAAATATTTTTATTATATCAGAATAAAAAAAAAAGTTAACTGAATTTGTCTTTCTTTCCCTTCTAATGTATTTTTTAGCTGCTGGGAAAGGAAAACCACCTGTGCTGCTGAAACAGTGCACATCCCCCATGAACTACACCACTCTGGAGTCTGCTGCCACCAAATCAGTACAGAATTACAGTGCTTTAGATCTAAGGAGTTTAGAATATTTATAACAGAGAACTCCCAAATAATTATGGTCTAGAAACTCCATGTCTTTTTACCTGCTGCTCTCTGGAGAGGAATCTGAAAAAGAATGGAGAAGGAGGACTTCGAGAGAGTATGGATACACAGGAATAGGAATGGTCTGGAATCATTAAGCTTGGAGCAAAAAACCCAGGACAGCTGGAAAAGTGCAGGAGCATAAACTTCTCTAAAACTCTTCATTAAATCTTCACTGCTAGCCCTGATGTCAAGTTGCAGGTGTGACTAACAGCAGAATCATATGGGAGTAAATAATAAACTACATCTGTTAACTTTGTGTTACTGCAGCACTAAACATTTTGTTTCTAGCTAAACCAAGTACTAGAGAAACATTAAATGGAATTTTGCTCATTTCTTTTAATGAGTTATCTGAAAAGTCTCAGTGGAATTGACTCAGGTCATTTTCTTTGCCACATCTCTAACTAAAATGACTAAACCCCAGCAAAAACGGAACACAAGACGCTGCACAGAATAGTCAATGACGTAGAAAGGCTTTTGCATTAACACATCATTCTTTGTGGATCTAAAGTTCCAGTAAAAATTCCATACTGCTCTGCACTGATATATTATAGTTTCTAGTGGGTTTTTTGGGAATAAATTAACAGCTACTCCATGGCATACGTGAAAATCCAACATATTATATTGCTACTTCAAGAACAGAATCAAGTCAAACTCACTTTACCCAGATGAGTGAGTTGTAAAACTCTGGATCAACAGATTCCAGATCCTTGAGTCCTACTGCCTTGTTTAGGATACGTTTGTAGAATGGGAGAGAGAATCCAGTGTCAATGAATTTGCCATGGAACAAAGCCTGAAAACACAAAACCAGACACAATAATGACTGAGTACTTCATATGACAACATTCCATACTCTGCACCTGCGAAATCTGAGAACCAAAGAATGAAACCAACCTATCATGACTGCTGATCTGCTGAACTAGCTTATACCAACAGTTATATCCACACATCTGATAACTTCAATTCAAAAATGGGTTAATTATCCATCTGATGCTACAATATTTATAGGAAAATGCAAGTAGAGATGCCCTTTGGACCTTTGCACTTACCATGGCAATGAACCTGCCGATGAATCTGAAGTACTTGAGGTGGTCAGGGTTGATATAGGAGGCTGGGTTTATCTGTAAGCAGTAGTTATCTTTCCCTGCATATTCAAACAGGCAATACATGGGGTTCAAAACTTCGTGTGACAATAGAAAGAACCATTCCCTGCAATCACATAAACGATAAAAATATAGTTCAAAATCAAGCACAGCAGAAATGACTGTAGTGAACTCAGAATCACTGAATCATCACAGTTGGAGGAGACCTCTAAGAACATTGAGTCCAACCCTTCACCTGTCACTGCTGTAACGCCTAAACCCTAAACTATAATCTCCAGTGCCAGATCCAGACACCTCTTAAACACTTCCAGGGATGGTGACTCCACCATCCACCTATTCCAGTGCCTGAACACCCTGACAGGGAAAACACTTCTCCTAACATCTCCTCTGACTCTGCCCTGTCTCAGCTCAAGGCCATTCCCTCTAGTCCTCTCCCTGCAGCCATGGCCCGACAGACATCCCCCACCTCTCTCCAACCCCTGTCAGGGAGTTGCAGAGAGCCATGAGGTCACCCCTGAGTCTTTTCTCCAGGCTAACCAACCCCAACTCCCTCAGCCCTTCCCCATGTGCTCTGGCCCTTTCCTGCCCTCGCTGCCCTTGGCTGGACTCGCTCCAGTGCCTCAATGGCCTTTTTGCAGTGAGTGCCCAAAGCTGAGCACAGCACTGAGCTGTGAGTGCCCAGTCCAGGGGGGGCTCATGTTGACTTAGGACTTAGGACCCTGTGGGCACAGTCAGTCTGCCTCTGTCACTGGATACTATGTTAGGCCACACTGACATCAAAGGGAAACCACAGCAAATTGTAAATACAAATGCACAGTTACAATGATACACAACTGTCAGTGGTTTGCATAAAACCCACTCTTACCTACTTCACAAGTCCTCCATTGACCTAAACATTCAGGGTTCAGGGAGTGCTAATCAACATATGCACTTCTTGGTTACATTCCAGTAAAGACTTTTGACTTAAAAATAGATTTCTGTTCACTTCCTTACTAAACTCCCCTTTGATAATGACAGTTGTGCCAAGGCTCACTGTGGTTCAGTGCATCTCTGTAACCACTGAGATGACTGAAGTAATTCCTAACACAGACTGGAGATCACTTCATACAGTTTCACGTATCGCACTGCCTCAGATATTCTGAGGGAAGATAAGGAATCACTCCTATTGTGAAAACACTGCAGACTTGGTGTGTTCTTTGGGGAAGCTTCACACCACTCTCTGCAGCACAAGCTCTTAGTGGCCATGTCAGTGTAGTTTACCTTGCAACACCTCCATAATCTAAGCCTTCTTCGCCAGGGAAAATAACCCACAAACGTCTCCGCAGGTCCTGAGGGCTGAAGCTCATTATCTTAGTGAAAGAAAAACAATCAGTTCTCTTTAAGAAAACAGCTATAAGCACTGGCTAGAATTATTACTATTTGCTAACAAGCAATAGGGCATTTAGTAATTTGGTTTAGGTCTGTAGACATTAACAAGAATTTTGCTGCGAATAATCAAATAGAATTAATAATTTTTGCTTTAATCATTTCATTACTCATCTCAAGACCCAAAATGCCCAGACTAAGATCCACTTAATACATTTTGGTACATAGTCCATGCTAATCTAACACATTGTGAAGAAAAACACACAAACAAACATCAGCACAACACGAAAACATGTGGAGCTGCTCTGCCTCAGTGCTCCCCTCAACACTAACTCTGATTTTAAAGCATTCTGAGGAAAAATCAAAGATAAAATATCGCCATCTGTCAGATGAATCAGTGCCACAACTTCACATTTTAGCACGAACTTTTAACATATAAATATGAATGAATCCTAGCTATGAAACTAATATTGTTAGTCTCACTTAAACTAACAGTAGCAAAATATCAAAGGCTCAAGAATGACACGTGACAATAAATCTACTTAACTCCACCTTCCATGCCCACTGCTCCAATGATTTAATACAATACCTGCTGAAATGAGTCCTCAAACAATGTTTTCCTGCTCACAGTGATCTTTATGTGCTGTGGCATTGCCAGTTGCTGAAAGGAAATTTTTTAGAGGTGAAGTGTACAATCATTTAAAGATTTTAACACTGATTTTGCACAGTTATTTGTTGTATATATTAAAAGGTAGAGTTGAATTTCATTAAAACCATAGAAAACAAACCCAGTAATCAAGATATCTGAACTGTTTCTACTCCAAAAATAAATTGCATCCAACATAGATAACTACAGTGATATATACACAGCTGCTGCATACAACAGGTTAAATATTGTACTCTTAGAAGACACTGGAAAACACTAAGATCAATAATATACTCTAACTCAGGAAGGCTTTCTACCCCAGAATTTATTACAGGGCTGGAGCACTTCTGCTACAAGGAAAGCCTGGGGGAATTGGGATTGCTCAGCCTGGAATAGAGAAGGCTCCAGGGTGACCTAACTGTGGCCTTGTAGTACCTGAAGGGCCTACAGGAAATATGGAGAGAGACTATTTACAAGGGCCTGGAGTGGCAGAACAAGGGGAAATGGTTTTAAACTGAAGGAGGGAAGGTTCAGATATTGGGAAGAAACACCCCTGTGTGGGTGCTGAGGCTGCTCCATCCCTGGCAGTGTTCCAGGCCAGGCTGGATGGGGCTTGGAGCAACCTGGGCTGGTGGAAGGTGTCTCTGCCCATGGCAGGGGGTGGGATGAGATGATCTCTAGGGTTCCTTCCAACTCAAACCAGTCTGGGATTCTATGAATGTAATAAAAAATTAGAAAATTGAGGTTATCCTGCACAAAATTCAAAGTGAAAAACCAGGCTCATCTCTCCACTATTCTCGAAGGATAATTCATTCACTCTTAAAAACTGAAACATTTAAATGTAAGACTTTTTCCTAAACACCAAGTTACTTTATCTTTTGCTACACAGAGAGTTTAGAGGACCAGGACTGACACACTGGATTTTGGTTGTATGTCTGAGCAAACTAACATTCACCACAGTAACATTCACCTTCAGTGCTCAGCCATGCCTGCTCAAATGCCCTGAATTTTCTACCAGAAGTATTTGTGTAGAAAGTACACCTTGCATTAACTGTAAAAACTGTGCCTCCAAATATTCCTGTATCAACAGCAGAAAGAAAAGACCATTCAGAAAAAAATCACTTAAAAAAAAGTAGTAAAATGGTATTTTCCTTTATTCTAAAGCATTTTAAAGCCACAGCTCACCTTGGCTTAAAGCTTACATCAGTTTACACAAGTCCTATATTTACTTCCTCCTACTTTACATCACCCTTAACCTCAGTTTGATTCCCTGTATTTGCAAGGCATTGAAGAGTTCATTTAAACATGGAAACAAAACTCCAAACGCAAACAAATATTCCCAAGAAATGAATCCATACCTGACACCAGAACCTGAAATAATGGACCTTGGCCTTGAAATCCCTCACGTAAGCTATCTGGGGGCCATTGTCTCTGGAAACAAAGAGAGAACAACAATTAATTTCAGAAGCATTTTTGTAACTGAAGTAAAAGCCTGTATGGTTTGGTATCTAATTGGAAGACACTTCATCACATTTTTGGATTTTGAGGTGTAATTTTCTTCCTTTGTCAGTTGTGGAATGCAAACACTGTGTTTGAAACAGGATCTGATTTTAACTGTCAAAAGGTTTCTAACAATAAGGGTGTGAGGACACTCAGTTAATTTAAGTTGGGTGGTAAATTCTGGTTTTAACTTCATTCTGGTTCCTAAAAAATCAAAGGAAGAAAGGGTTGAGTGTACTTTTCAAGAGAAAGACTAGTAACTCTAAGGGATTTGGTCATCCACAGGACAGACACAGTGAATGACCCTCAAATCCCATACACTACATGGTAAGAAGGATTCTGAAGTGTTCAGAACTGCCTTCAGGGAGTTAACAGTGGATGAAAAACCCACAGAAAATTAAGCAGCATTGCTACGTGCAAAACTTTCTGCCTAAAAAATTGTAGTAAGAGGGAAAAATAACCCTTCAAAAATGCTGCGCTGTCACTTTGGAAAGCTTAGTATCCTGCTAAGAGCACTTACAAAGCAGACTTGCCCGTTCGAGGGTCTATGTATGTGGTGGTTCTTCTGTTGTGATCCACAAAGTAGGGAATTCCATCCACAGTGAATCGCATTTCCCAGCCCTCTGGTAAGGGTTTCTCATTTAACTGGCTGTGGAGACAAGAAAATACATGGTAACTCCTCAACTTCATACATTGAGGCAATTGAACAATACCTGAGACAGTAAGAAAGATCAAGAAAAACTACAGATTGAGACCATTTCCACTCAATATTTATTCTGCCTTTTTTCCCCCTCTTAAACCTGCAGTCAGCTCTAATTAGATGAAAATGATTGTTTCAGTAAGCATCAGCTCATTTGGTTGTACTACCTGAAATAAAGGCCAAAAGAAATGATGGGGAATATGTAAGCAAAGTTTATCCATGTTTTCTCCCCAAACAACAGAATTTTATCCTCTATTAGGTTTTTACTCAAAAACTGACATAATTTTGATAAGCAGCTTTGGATACCTCATGTGTAATCACAGCAGCCAAAAGAAGTGTTCCAGAATGACAAAAGTGAAAAAAAAATGGAACTAGTGATCTTGTATAATTTTACATATACAGACAGATATATAAAACAGTGCTCCAGAGGGATTTCCCTCCACAGAACCACCCTGCACGACCACAGCCCTGACTGCATGGCCAAAGCCTTGGGTTGTTGGGTTGCTTTAGGAGTAACAGAGTTCTCACTCAGCTGCTGCAGAGGGAACTGGGGTGGAAATGTTATCTGTGGGTACAGCCATTACACCCTCACACATTCCCCTCCTTCTCCGTGGAGGACAGATGAAGTTGCTTTACCAAACAGAAGTTTTCAGCTCAAACAGGAGCTGGGAGTGAACATCTTCATCCTCAGCTTCCTGTCTCCATTCCTTACCTCGGACACTCTAAGTGACAGAGCCCAAAATAAACACTATTCCAGAGCTTTTTGTAGTGCCTCAGCTTCTCTGTCTTTTTTTTCCCCCCTCCTTTATTTAAAAGGTCTGAGGAGGAATGCTGCAGGTTTTTGGGTGTGTCTTCCTTCTGTCTCTTACCTATCCCTGGAGTGTTCCAGGCCAGGTTGGATGGGGCTTGGAGCAGCCTGGGCTAGTGGAAGGTGTCCCTGGCAGTGGCAGGGGGTAGGATGAGGGGAGCTTTAAGGTTCCTTCCAACCCAAACCATCTGTGATTCTCTGATTCTATGACTGTCTAGGAAACAATCAAATTCTTATTCAAGACCATCTGCACGATCCCATCACTGTATGAAAGAAATCTCTCCATCCTCCAACATACAACTATTTAGACGTATGTGATTGCTTATAAAAAGAGTAGAAGTTGTTCTGGGGAATGAACTTATGGCTGTCGCCCAAGGCTTTCCTGGTAATTGTAGTATTACTAAGTTATATTGTGGCAATTTCCATTCTGGCTTATACCCTTTAACATTTTGTGCAGGATAGTCCGTGTCTCACCCGTGGGCAGCATTTCCTAGCTCTGACATTGGAGCAGGACAGTCCATGTCTCACCCGTGGGCAGCATTTCCTAGCTCTGACATTGGAGCAGGACAGTCTGTGTCTCACCCGAGGCAGCATTTCCCTGCTTGCAGTCTCACTACTTTGCTACATTTTCATTCCAGACTTTTATGAAGCAGTAAGTGATTTCTTACCCCTGGCTCCTGGGATCTTCCCATTGAGTGATTCTTGTGTTATGATTGACAAAATACACTCTGCCATTGCTGTCAGTTCTCTTCTCTGAAAAGAAGTGCAGGAAACAAATATCAAAACCCTCTTGAAGGTACTGCTGAGACTATATCCAATAAATGAAAACAACCACCAGTCCCTGCCACAGCCTCTCCTGTCCTCAGGTTTTTCTGTACCTCCCCTGATGCAACATCCTTTCACTTTGACTGACATTATTCCTTACTATGTTATTTATTTTTCACCTGTAGGAATAATTTATGGAAAAAAAGGAAAAATGTGAGCTGTTTGTCCACAGGAAATTCCAGTTCTGTTGAATATTGTGATGTGCCTGACAAGAAACACACACAGCAAACAGAATAGGGAATAGATTTGCACACAAGCAGCAAGAAAGTACAAGGCCTTCATGGTAAATTAGAGCAGGGAATGAAAAATGGTTAATGCAGTTGTCAAGAAAACCCATTTATGTTTCTCTCAGGTAGGTTAATGGTTCAACAGAGCTTATGAGAAATGCCCCAGCTTGGTCTCCTGCACTACTGTGCAGCTTTTCATGCCATTTTCACTCAGTGTCGCAAGAGAAACACAGAACACAAATTATAAAATAGGCCGAAGTCTCACTACCACAGGTGAAAACCTTCAGCTCACAAGAGAAGTCTGAGAGTAGCCACTTGCCTATGAGACTGCCAGAATTCCACACCATTTCCTGGGCAATGCCAGCCTAAGGCCCTTTCTTCCAATGCTACCTAAATAATGCATCAAAGCACAAGTGTGGGGAGCTACAGTTTCATGACATGAAATTGCATCATTTCTAGAACTGAAAATCCAAACAGTTCTGTCTAAAAAGCAGATGAGTTAAAACTCAGCTCTAACTCTGCCAAGTGATTACTTGTTTTAAAATTCCACAATTCTGAGAGCTTTACCTATGCATCATAAACCTTGACTTCTATCTGCTTGATATATTAGTTTTACACTTCCATTTTTGTATTACACCTCACCCCATATATAGTAATTGTAAGTTCTCCACTCTGTAAAGTACAAGATCAAATTTATTCCAGGGAGAGGAGCAAGTAAGTGATTAGCTGTCATTATAAAATCATTTTCAGACCAACAAAATTCTCAAAGAATTGGCTTGGAGAGGGAATTTGGCAGTTTGATTTAGAGAGGCTTTTGAGCCTGATTTAGCAGGAACAGGATGATGGGGGAATCCTACCTAATGGAAAAGGATAAAAAAAGGATGTCAGTGTGAAAGAAGCTATTTATACTCATTACAGGGAGTAAACCAGAACACTTTACAGTTTCTAATCTCCTCTGAAACCAGACATCCTTGTCAGGACTCTGTTTTCACAGCACATTTGATTAGATCTAATTTTAAAGTATTTTTAATCCAGATTTTAACTTGTAAAAAGTAGCCTAGAACAGCTGACAAATAGTTTGGCAGAAGAATGCTTTAATGTCTAATTCCATTTCGTTACAAAACACTTTCAAGTCAGTCTTACCCCATCCATGTGGCAGAGGGCCAAGAGGATCAAACTCCTTGTTCTGTGAGGATGAAAAGTCCTGGTTCTGCAAGTCACACAAACAAATGGGGCATTAATGGCTAGTCATTTGCTTTCCAGATATTCTACCACAGCCATCATGAATTATTGAAGCAAATGCATTTTTGTTAACATTACACATAAGCAAAGATGCCAACGAGTTCTTTACCTGCACAGAAAGGCCTATTTTACTGACCTTGGCATGTTTCATTCATTCCAGTGCCAAGAAAT